AGTGATGAGGAGGATGGTGAAGGACCAAATAGAGGAAAGTGGGTAGTTAGAAAGCCATCATGGAGGTCTGGAGAGGGGGATAATCTGATGAAGAGGCTTCAACAGAAGATAGATGCCTCTTCATCAGATCGGCCAAGATTCACAAGAGTTCCAGGGGGGTTATCAACTAAGGGAAAACCAAAGAACCCTGTCACATGGGCTGTTAACGATGATTTGCCAAGACCACCCAGAAGGTAGAATAGATATAGTTAAATCATGACAGATCTTAAATGTGACTTATGATATATTTTTGGCTCCCAAACACTTTTAAGATTGAATTTTAAATAATGATTTTGTTTTGATCAATTAAGAAAAGGAATCTGACACATAATTTCTTTGAATTATTTACTCAGCTCTGTGCCTTCCAGTGGCTCAAGAGAACAGGAAAATCAACAATCAAGTACTAATGATCTGCCAAGAAGGTAAAAAAGATATGATTTTATGCTTCTGCAGTGTAATAAAACAAACTTTTGGCCTTTGCTCAAAGTGCACGACTTACCATTTAGCATAATCATTGCAAAATTCAAACAGATGATACATTGTAGTATACTTCATACTCGTCCAAATTCAGACAAAACTATCCATAGCATTGTCCCTTCTATTGCATTTTTCAAATATTGGTTGTTTTGTGGATAACATGATTCAGTATGCATTTAGATTTGTCAGAGTATTAGACGACTTGTGTTGTGTACTAAAGTGTTTTTGTTTACTGTAGTATTTTTATTTTATCACTAATCTTATATTCTTAATTGCAGAGAGAGATCTAGAAGTCCAGCAAGAAGCCTAAGCCAGCGTCAATCCAGAAGGGGTAAAAGTAAATTCATGTTTTAATGCATTCTCAATGCCATATTCATTTAAAGTATCAGCTGCCCTCCAACAAAATATATAGCAATTGTTAGCTTCCACCTGCTATTTATTCAGTTGAACAAGTTACTTTCTCCGCGAATTGCTAATAATTTCCAAATAATGACAAAGAAGAACACATTCAACATCTCTCTGATTGCTTTAATATCATTGTCCTTTTTACAGAATGAGTTCAAAAAGTCCCTCAAGCAGCCCAGAACGGCCAAGGTACCTTTTTTATTGTTAAAACATCGATGCTTTGGATGTCACATCTCACATAATCTCTTTTTATTTTGTTTAGAAGATCAAGATCTCGCAGCACTTCTTCTGAGGTTACCAGGTACATATGATAAACATTGATACAGTATCCTAAAAAATAGCACACCAGGATTTTGTACAAGCTGTATTTGTTGCTTATCATGCTTACATTTTTGACATCTAATTTTATTCTGTTTAGAAGAACAAGATCACGCAGTCCTTCACCTTAAGTCATCAGGTATAAAATATATGAAAATTGAATAAGGCTAATAAAAAATCATTTTTATCAAATGCTTATTATTTTACTCTAAATGTGTGATAGGAATGAAGGCGTGTACAGTCCTAATCGACTACAAAGAGAATTAAGAGAAGATAGGTAAGTAGAGGAATGAGACAATAAGTTCTCCTTCATTTATCATATTAGAGGGAATTAACACTAACAGTAAATGGTTTACATTTGTCCTATGATTTTAATTAGATTTTAAATAAGGATCATCACACATTTTTTTCTGAATTGATCTATGCTATGAATTATATGCAACTTATATCACATGTACATATTATGCTTTGTATTTTGGACTTTATTTTTCTATTCATTGTTTTTCAACACGTTTTGCTACATTTTTTTGTTCTAATTTAGGACGTCAAATGACTTAATGAAGAAAAGGACTAGGTATATGTCAATAAACTTGTACTATTTAACAGCAGCTCCATGTAAACCATGTGCTCTATCTATGCTCTCTAGTAATGGCTATTGCTCAAATATAATTTAATGTAGACAGTTTTTGTTGATCAAAGTCATGTTTTTGTTCTTTTGCAGAGGCGAAGTTCTAAAAACTTATGATTAATTTATGACTCCATTTAATTTTTTTAATGAAGCTATGTTGTTCATTTGAAAATAGTTAATGTTAATATCTTTTTATTATATAAATACATTTGAAAATAATTTTTGTTTTTTAAATGGAATTGAGAAAGACATAAGAAAAGAATTGAAGTTAATGTTTTGAATATATTATTTATGCTTTGATAAGGATACCTGCGCCATCTTGAAAGGTAGCCGTGCCTTTGCACCGAAGCGAAACGACCATTGAGCGTGCAGTGATAGATACCTGTGAATAATTGTCTATAGGTGTGAAAGAAGGTTTCTATCATTGYACRCTCAACKRTTGTCTCGCTTCGATGACAAGGCACGGCTACCTTTCAAGATGGCGCAGGTAACCGTGAATGAGACTATTGAAATTATTTATTTATTATATAAATACATTTGAAAATACCTGTTTTGTAAATGGAATTCAGAAACTCATAAGAAAACACTTGAAATTATTTTTTTAATATAATTGATATCTATCTTGTTACCAATTGTTATTCAGGTTTATTTATTTATTATTGACTTTTGCTTGACATTTATTATAAAGCAATGTTCCTGTTCAGAATAAATATTTATAAAAGTTTTCCAATTTTTTATTATCGCAAATACTATATTTGATGCTCTTGAAAGATAAGACAATTTTATTAGCAATCATTAGAAATATTTATATTTACCAAATTAAAGGTGAAAGTTGACAAATGAAGGTTTATTATATTGATTTATTTTTATAGTACTATGGGAATATTCCTTGAGAATCCGTATACGACCTAAGATATTCAGAGGTATTCGTTACGTATGGAAGGAATATTCCTTGAGAATACGTGTGCGACCTAAGATATTCAGAGGTATTCGTTACGTATGGAAGGAATATTCCTTGAGAATACGTATACGACC